GCAAATATTCACTGAAATTTATATATTCAATGACATATATATATATATATATATATATATATATATATATATATATATATATATATATATATATATAAGAAATATAAAAAAGTTAAACAATGTTGAAAGTAGTGTTGAATTTTTGAAATATATATATATATATATATATATATATATTTCAAAAATTCAAAACTACTTTCAACATTGTTTAACTTTTTTATATTTCTTTTTAGTTTATAAATGTCAGAAAAATTAGACATTTTATTGTTTTAAAAATTTTATTAAATAAATTTGCAGATAGCTATTTCGAGTTATAGAAAACTCATCTTCAGTGCATTATATATAATGTATGTAAGATATTTGATAAGATAAGAAAGAACAAATAGTTATTAATTTATATAAATTATTTAAAACAGAAAACGAATAAAATAAATTTAATAACATTAAACAATATAAAACGAGATTGTTTATATCATGTTTGTTAAGGTAAATATCAACGCTCAGCCGAGAAGAAGCGCGAATTTATTTAATTAACTACATATTATTAATATTATTTTTACAATATTTAAAAACGTTATTATTATTGTTGTTAACGTTATTATTATTATCATCGCTGTGGTTCTTGCTTCTTGTGATGATGTTACAATTGCAACTGCAGCTGATATTTGCGTGGCGAAGAACGATTCAAAACCGCGGTCTATGTCAAAGAAACGAATACAGGAATTTGTTTGAATGGACAAAGTGAATGCACTGAACAATTTAAAGACAGCACAATAAAATCATTTGTGAACCGGGCATTCACACACTCTTCGGATATTGAAAATCGCGACGCTGAATTAAAGAGGGTCACTAACCTGCTTGTAAACAATGGATATAAGACTTAGTCTATTGAAAAGATTGTTAAAGGCAAATTACTACACAACAATAACCTTCCTGGTACCAACAATCAAGATAACGACATCATCTTGTATTACAGAAATCACATGTCAACAGCATACAAAGTAGATGAAGCTATTCTTAAACATATCATCAATAAAAATGTCACACCAACCAACCCAAATAATAAAGTTAAACTCCGAATATATTACAACAATAAAAAAGACGTCTCACCTAATACTGAAAAACAACTGTAGTCCTAGAGATAACTCTGTGCTAAGGCGTAATCACGTAATATATGAATTTAATTGCCCCTTTGACGGCTGTGCACGTCAACATGACTCATATATCGGGATTACTACTACCTCATTGACTAGAAGGCTTACGATGCATAAACAGAGTGGTGATATCAAATCTCATTTGGACTCAACACACTCAATCACTATTAACCGTGAAATCCTCGACAGTAACACCAAAGTAATATACCAGAACAGCAACTACACGCATCATAAAATTTCAGAAGCAGTCCTAATTGACATCAATAAACCAAAAATAAATATACAACAAAAAATGACAACTTTACTCCCAACCCGGCGCTTAATCAGCAATGAAAAAAAGATGTAATGAAAACTAGCATTGTAAATAATGACAAAGAAGAATATGATGCTATCGATGAAGAAAAGGAAACTAATGAAGATGGACCAGTCAATAAAGAAATCTGACACCTAATTTCAATCTAATTTCATTTTGACAAAGTCAATCTCCATATAAATTCATTTTGACAAAGTCAATATTTCCTTATATAAACAGCAGAAAGCACTGATGATGATTCATTCCGAATCGAAATATGGCCTTATTTGCAGCATGAATTCGGAAAATAAGTTTATTTTGAATTTTAATAAACTAAACGTTCACCAAAAAACTTTAGTGAGAAAAATTGAAAAAACGAACTACAAACATATAAACGCCAAACATTCGGTAGAATTTATAGAATATTGTAAAAATTATGGTCTATTACCAACATATATATATGTGTATATATATATATATATATATATAAATACACTCAACGATATGGAATTGTTGTAAATCGCTGAGTGTATTTTCAATTCCATATCGTATATTTCAATTACAGAAACCCAAAAAGAAGATTGATTGTTGGTAGTTACGAGGTCAAGGGAGTTACAACACTATGGCGGCCTGCCACAAGTGATTACTTTTTGTCTCCATTTCATTTCATGCATTTGCAAGACTTAATGATTGATAACGAAAGAAAAATTTCCGTATTAGATAAAAATGAATAAAAGAGCAGTTAACTACCAACTCGTAACTACCAACACCGATGTTATAGCTTCAATAATCCCTATATCTCCAACACCGTGTTGTAGCTTCCAACGATAGTCAAGAAAGAGTTCGTTTATCCATAGGCTCAAGATTTCCGATAGATGAACACAATTACTTCAATAGTTACAATTAAAACATTTTTAAGAAGTTCATAAACTTAAAACGTTCTTAAAAGGAAAGAAGTGCAAGGAACAAAACATCAGGTATTGTTCATATTTGTCAATGTTGTAACATCCAAAAACAAAAAATATTATCTTACAAGTACGCATAATTTGTGCAGGTGCTCGTTGGATCATCACTGTTGGATCCAGAAGATCACTTTGTGTTGATAGTTTTTAACCACTCTTTCATTCATTTTTATCTTATGTAGAAAAAGCTTTTTTCGGTTATCCTTTACCATTTTCAATATAGTATGTTATCAAATATTGGTTGTATCTTATATATACTTATATATGTGCGTTCCTACTTTGTTGGCTCCAAAAGATCACTTTTCGTTGATCCATTATGTGTATGCTCTAAGTGTGGTACATTGTGCTGTGCTTCAGTTCCTGAAGCACAGCACAATGCCAATGATAAACTCATACAGCGAGAGCACTTGACGTGCATTTTTTGGACCTTTATGTTTCGTGCGTGGTGTGGGACATCTATTTTTATGCAGTTTTCCAGTGAGCACGGAACATTACTTTAACCAATATTGGTTTATCTTAAATCTAAGGTCATTATTTTTCTTTTTCCACTCTTCAAAAATTTAGTGGGGTCGGAAAACATGATCAGAATTTTTAATTTCAAGTAAGCCTCATTTTTAATTAATTAATTGGCTTTATCATATATTGTATTTTAGCAATCGCAAGATTTAACTAATTTGCTAATTTTCAGCGTGTACAAATTTTTATCTAAAAATTAATTTTATTTAATCCTATTGCTATTTATATTTAGATTGCGACTTTTATTACAAACCGATGAAATCAAGTTTTACAATGAAATAACCAACATGCACATTAAAAAAGTCGATAAACGATGTGAGCTACGTGAAAGAGCTAATGAAATAATAAAAAAAAAAGAAGCTGAGAGAATTGCGTTTGTTCAAGAAAAACTAGAGCAACAATTTAGGTTTATCATTTATTTTTTTTGGCTTTTAACCTAAATGACTTTTAAATCATTTCATATTAGTTAATTTTTTGTGTACTTCATTTTATAATAAAACATGTTATGTCATAGCATTTAAGCATCTTTGGCCTGGCTCCAGGTGTCTATATCTGTCTGACATCCTTGCATATTTCGCTGTTAGTAACCACTTATTCAAATACGTTCTTATACATCCTGTCGTTATTCCATGAACAGTTAATTTAGTTCTTTTTAAGTCTTCGTCCAGATCAATCGACTCGCCATCTATTTTTGGTACGTTCATTTTTCTTTTGCGATTGATATTGGAATAATTTTTTGAGATACGGTTTTTAGCCGTCCTCAGCACATGGCCTGCCAATCGCGTTCTTCTTCCTTTAATATTTTTGATTGAAAAGTTTTTTTTGTCTCTTCGTTCGTCAGGTGATCTGAGTTGCTAATCTTTGTTATTCATCTAAAAAAGCCTGCTTCACATCCATACTTCCGCACAGTTATCAATTAACTACCTAACAGCTTTGTTTTGCTTCACATCATGTCTTTTCTGTAGTTTATTGAAGAACGATCGTGTTAATGCATTTCTTCTTTTGGATTTTTTTCTGTCTCTCAATCAGCTTTTAGTTTGTTTTCCATCTTTGGATAGTTTCAATTTTTTTTATCGAAGTCGATTTTAATAGCTGGTCATTCTATTTATTGTTTTGAAACTGACATCATTTTAGTTTTTTGCATATTAACTTTCAGTCCCCAAAATTATCCGCTTTCTTTTGACATGGATCCGTCTGTACTACCATCCTTTCCACAGATTTTACAATTTGGCAAACATCATCGGCATATTCTATATCTTTAATCATCTTCATTCCCAATTCATTTGTTGTTTCCATTCATCTTCATTTCAGCAGCAAACGCATCGGTTATCCTGATGGCGATATATAGTCCGGGTTCAAAAGCTGCTGACAAGTTGTTCTTTGATGAGCAGACTCATGTGGTTGAGGGACTGACTGTAAATAACATTCCGCTGTTGATGGCTGGTGATTTTAACATTCATCTAGAAAACGTTGATAACCTAAATGCAAGGCGGATGGAAGATTTTCTTGCAACATTTGGTATGGTCAGGTTCGTGCACGTGAAACTTACGTTAAGCAAGGAACATTGGATTTTGTGGCCTCCACATCGGGTTACAAGATTACGGATGTCATTATGGGAACACCAAAAGAATTTTTAGACCATGCCCTGGTGACGTGTCTGTTGCCCATGCGTAAAACTAAACCACAATTTATAACAAAGTTAGTACGATGTTGGAGGAGATAGGACAAAGCTACATTTCGGAGTTCCTTGATGGCGACATCACTGGCTGTGCCTCCAGCTGATGATGCCTGCGATGACGACTTGATGAAATGCTATGTGACGGTGTTACGACGTTTGGCAGATAAATATGCACCAATTAAGAAGGTGAATTGTAAATTGTTTCCGGTGACTCCTTGGTTTGATGAAGATTGTGTTCAGACTAGACGATGGTGTAGGAGGTTGGAAAGGAAATATCGTAAGACCAAGGGTGATGATGATAGAATGGTGTAATACCCTGCAAGACAGAAAAATGGTGCTAATAGACAAGAAAAATTGTTATTGGTGAAATCAGATAACATCTTGCAAAAACAATCCTTCTCAGCTTTGACGTCATGTGAACAAGATGATGAATAAAAATGTAAATATGCCAGAATCAAAAACGGCGGAACATACATCCGAAGATTTTCTTAAATACTTGGAAGACAAAGTTTATAAAGTAATGGCAGCGATTCGGCATTATGATTTTCCGGTAATTGAAGAGTTAGCTGTTATAGTGTTGGACAATTTTGAACCTTGCACAGAAGAAGAGGTTTACAAAATTACAACGCAATCACCGTTAACGACGTTGTTTTCTTTGCCATCAATTTTTTGCGCCAAATTCGACGATCAGTTGTATCCATTTCGTTGAAATTTAGAGCTTTCATGTCTTGTACGATTGTATGCGACCAGGACTTCTTTGGGCGGCCTTTGGGACGTGTGCCAGGTACTTCAACATCTGCAAAAAAAGTTATGGCACTGTTTCCACTTCGTTTGACATGACCAAACCAGCATTGCCGGCATTCGTCCTTTTTATCTTCTAAACCACCTCGACGCAGGATTTTGGTAGATTTGATGTGGTCTTTCAGACTAATTCGTTGCATCCATCGAAGCATTTTCATGTCGGTTCGTTGAAGTTGTTGTTCCAGTTCGGTAGTCATTGCCCATGTTTCTGCACCATATAACAACACCGGACGTATCACAGATTTATAAAGTCTTGCTCGTAGTGGCAATGGGATGTCACGCCGCATCAGTACAGAGGCAAGGAGATACCATTTATTCCAGGTTGCACGTATGCGTGCTAGACTAGAAAGGCAGTTTCAGCTGCTCCAGTACAATCCAGGATATCCCCTAGATATTGAAACGATGTGACTTTCTTTATCTTAATGGCTTCCAAAACATTGCTATTTTGTATTTGTTGTTGTGGGTTGATGCAAGCAGAACAAACAAAATTGGACATTTTAGATAAAGTACCAATTATTTTTGAACAACGCTTGTGACACCACTGGTTACACTGCTGACATTTGATTGAATTGTTACCTACACCAGCTTTACAATCTGAACAGGGCTATAGTCCAGTAGCTGTATATTGGATGGGTTCACCAGTGTTCATTGCTTTGGTTTTTGCTGATGTTGATTTTGAATTCATGATCAGCGAGTCTGGTGTTCCAATCTTCAAACATCTGTGCTGCATTCTGCTCAGACGTGGCTGTTAAATCAGCTTATATTAGATTCCAAATGTCACCAGTGCGTATCGGTTTTGTGATTTCTTCCATCACAATTATAAATAACAGTGGACTGAAATTTTAGCCTTGGTAAACTCCAACGCCGATGTCAAATGCATCTCTATTTCCAACCGTTGTGTTGACGAGAGTCTTAGTATTCGTATACATTTTCATCACAAGTCGAACAAAATATTCTGGAATGAGTTATCGACGTAGACTCCACCTGATTGCTTCACGCAGAACTCGATCAAATGTTTTTTCATGGTCTACAAAAATGTGTAATAGTTGTTGATGCTTTGCGAGGTACTTCTCTTGCAGAGGGATGTAAATTGCATCAATTGTTGATTTCCCCGCTAAGAAACCAAATTGATAATTTCCAATTATGATGCACGACGTTAATCTTTTCTCAATGATTTTCCCGACATTTTTCAGGGAGTGTTCTAACAGACGTATATCCCGATATGATGAACAACTCAATGGATCACCTTTGCCTTTATAGCGGAACTGTCATGCTAAAGTTCCATTCAGTTGGCATTGAGCAATTTCTCCAGATTTCACGGCAAAGTTGTAGTAACGTTTGGATACCTGCAGTACCAAATGCTTTGATAACGTCATTTGTGAGTCCAGAGGGCCGTGCTGCTTTTTTTCCTTCATAGCTTTCAGAGCTTCTGTAAGCTCCTCTACACTTGATGGGTGGAGCGTCAAAGTTAACATTGATGGAATTTGTTTCATTTAACAGACGGTTGAAATATTCTCTCCACTGTAGCTTGATCTCATCAAGAACCATCTCATTTTTGTCTTTTTTGATACATGAGGCACCGACTATGTTTTTTTTCGTATGCATTGCTTGTTTTGCTATACGATACAGAGATTTCAATTGTTCACCTTTGTTTTTAGTGAGCCACTCTCTGCACTGATATGTCCGAGCCAGTGCGACTTGACGTCTTGCTTAGTTGTTCTTCTCACGAAAAATTTTATGGTCATCAACAGAATATCGCTTGCCGTTTTGTTCCCATATAAGTGTCAGGTGGCTTAAATGTTAGATCACTCAAAAATTTTGCCGAGTGAAACTCCGAACTCAGAAACTATTTGAAGTCAAACGGCAATGAAGAACTAAAATGTTTATGGAGTGAGTTGTACAGTAGCTACATAATGATTGGCAACTTGCTTCTAGGTACTAAAGACATTATGTCGACTCTAAGAACGCTAACGCCCCGGCAAGAGAAACAGAATTAGAACATTTGTTGTCGCTCTGCTGCCAAGGAACAGCTTTGAAATCGATTAAAAATCACATTCCCTCGACCCAAATTGCCCATTGGTCGAAGTTCCACAGTCTTCCAGAGGTCCTATTCAAATTCTTCGGAAAAGCCACATTCAAACGCAAATCTATTTAAATGGGGAAAATCTTAAAATCCTTTTTTTTTGATCTTTATAATGCAACTCCGTCAAACGCTCAAACGCAGAACTGCTTACATGTTATTCCATACTTATGATAAAACTTTCGTGTCACAAAGGCTGTACATGTACACTTACCACACGACACTCATTCACATTATATATGCACGCGTCATCATACGGGTTTGATTGTCTTTGAGTTTCGGACAGACAGTATTCGAACCATGTCATCGCGTAATAGCAGCACGTGACACGGCACTTCTACTGACTGAGCTAACTCGTTAACCGGCTTTGCAATGCTTGACAAACCAAAAAAAACATGTTCTGTCCAACTGCAACTCGGTGTCAGCATTGAGTAGATACACCACACGCCACAATAAAATTTTGAAGATAATTGTAGAAAAATTAAAGTCATGTGCTGGGCCAGAAGTTTCAATATCCGCTAACGTAGACTGTGATGAGATTCGCCGAAAATGCACTACGTCCTGACATCGCATTACTCAGAAGAAACACGATCAAAATACTTACTTTACAATTTACTTGACGATTTTAATCATTTTAGAATAACAATTTTGCTGACAGGTTTTTTAATAGTTTTAATTTGTTTTTAATTAACTTAAATTGGTTTGATCAATTTTATAATAACCTTGTTAACTCGGTAATAACGTCATCATATGCTATTTAATGTGATAGAAACATTAACTGAAAGAATCATTTAGAACTAATCTGTTCTCGTTGTACACATTCTGTGTAAGATGACGAGTTTCGCAAAATATTTTATAATAAGTTCTATTTTATTCTATTAAATTTTAATTATTGTTAACAATTACTTCTTCTTTTTATGTGTGTTTTATGCTAAAAATAAAAGAATGTTCTCATTATTATTACAATTTTATTTTATTTTACTTCATTTTCTTGTCATTTTCTTTGTTTTTATTGCCGAATAAAAGATAGTTCTCATTATTATTGTTGTTATTATTATTATTCTATTAAAGGTATTAATGATAACGATGTTGGTGATAATCGAAATTTGATGGTATGTGGTAGTGAAGATTTCGAAGGTGATGATATTGGTTATAAAGGTAAGTTGTTAGTTGTTGGATGGTTAGTGGTTATAATGGTGCTCTTAATAGAAATTTATAGTTGATGAGGTTGTAGTTGGTGATAATTTTATGGTCAAAATTGATGTCAAAGAACCTTCTTTGGTTTCAAAGAAATGCCTTAATGATTGTAATATATGTGGTTGCATTAATGATTGCGATAACAGTGGTTTTAAATATGACAGAAATGATAACGATGGTGTGAATTGTAATGAACGTAATATTGATGGTGATTGTTATGGTGGTAGTTATTACCTGAATCTAAATTAAAAATGAAATACAGGTTTCGTTGGGTTTATTAATCATTAGATTTATTCTATCAAAATATGATGCAGTTCATGAAATGTCGCTCGATGGAGTGGTTGTTCGGGTGCATTTGGAAACATGGCATTGTTTTTCATTGTTAGATGATTAGATCAGGGGTGGGCAAACATTTTGCTGTGAGGGCCGCATTAAAAACTGTTTTGCCTCTAGAAGGGTGCATAAATTTTTTCAAACAGTGACCGAGAAACTTTTCTAAAATGTTTCAATGTTGACCGGAAAGCAACATTTGTGACTAACGACCATTTTTTTGGCTTATAACATCACATTTTTCGTTAATATACGTACAGGGCTTCGCGGGCCGCATAAAATGGCTTGGCAGGCGGCTTGCGGGCCGTAGTTTGCCTACTTCTAGATTAGATTATTAATGCCTTCAGGTTACAGTTTTAATTTTTTGAGCCTACATGATCCTTATCACAGTGTTATAATCATCTTTCTTAAATCAGATTTCAAGTTCAAGAAAGTTGAGCTTCTACATTTTTCTACGTCTGAAGCATTTGCGGTTATTTTTTTTAATTAATAGTAAAGATTGGGTGTTGGTTTGTAGAGACCTGGTTCAGAGCAAATAAAAGCCTCGTTTTCAACTAAACTGATTTCATTGTTGAGTTCTAACACCGCATTTTTTGCTGGCTAATGATTTCATTGTACAAATTGAAAAGAAAGATGATGCCCATATAATCAGACTAATAAAAAAGTCTGATATGTTCCATATTACAGATAACATAAAAGAATCAACACATAATCTTGGGGGTACACTTGACTTGATAATAACTTCATTGGGATTTCCTGTTTGCTCAAGTATTTTTTTCCTGTTCCAGTTTTCCTAGCGGTGTGTTTTCTGATGATAGCTTGATACATTTAAACATACTGAAAACCAAAATTACTTCTGTAAACGTAAAAAAATTAGTCAGATTGTGGAGACATTTGATTGAAACAATTTTTGATTCTGTTTTGTCAAAACCATGTCAAAGTGATGATGTTGAGAAAGAATTTGATTTATTTAACAGTCAGCTAAAGATAACAGTTGATCAAGTTGCACCACTTCATGAAGTTAATTTCAGATGTAAAATTTTGACATCTTGGTTTGATAGAGAATGTAGAAAAAATAAACGATATTATTGGAGGCTGGAAAAAATACAGAAAAAATTCTAACAATGATAATAAAATAGCATGGTTCTATGGTTTTGAGAAATAATAAATAATTTTTTTGCTAAAAAACGCAAGCACTATTGGAGTAGTTTAATCTATGAAAACAGTAACAGTTTAAGGGATTTGTGAAAAGTAGTTAACAAAATTTTTAAAAATAATGATTATGATTTTTCCCATAATTTAACGAATGAACATTTTCTGAAAATTTTTAACATGAAAGTTAATCAAACTTTTTAAAGAATCATATGAGCCTATTTTTGAGCAACAAAATATATAATGTTGACACCTTGGTTTGATAGATAATGTAAAGAAAATAAACGATTTAGTCGGAGGTTGGAGAAAAAATATAGAAAAAATCCTAACAATGATAATAAAAATGCATGATCTATTGCTTTGAGGAATAAAAGTAATTTAGATGCGAATCGTCCGCCAACACATGGGCCATTGCCCTCAACGAGACCGGGTAGCTCTGATGTAAGATCTCAGTTTTTTTCAGACCAACTGTAAGTCTAAATTTGGGGCCCTCTACTGCTTATTAGTCACATAAATGATCTACCAGATTCAAATGCTTTCTTTAACTTTATAATCTATGCTGATGATACTACTGTCTTCAGCAGTTGGAAAGACATTGACGAACTTATTAACAATACAAATAAAGAATTAGAAAATATCTTCAAATGGTTCTCAGCTAATAAATTAGTATTAAATTCATCCAAAACACAGATGATGATATTCGGACCAGTACAATATCTTAATTATAAAGAACCTTACAAAATCATCATAAACTCAAATGTAATCTACGAATCAAAATCAATAAAATTCCTTGGTGCTGTGTTAGATCAAAAATTATCTTTCAAGCAGCATGTTAACTATATCTCGATGAAACTTTCCAAATCTATAGCAATCTTGAATAAAGCAAAATTCTTTGTATCTTTCAGGTGTCTCAACATGTTATACCATTCATTATTTATTCCTCACATAACGTACAGTGGCATCACTTGGACTACAAATTATGCGATATCAACAAAACCAATTGAACTCCTCATGAAACGTGCAATTCGAATTATAACAGGGTCCAGAAGGTTAAATCATACCCAAACATTATTTATTCGGACTCAAAATCTAAACTTCAAAATGCTGAATATTTATTTAGTCATGCAATTTGTCTACAAAGCATTAACAAAAAAATTGCCAGTCATTTTTTCAAGCCACTACAAATTAAATTCACGTTCGAGACATTCTAACCTCATTGTATGCAACAAATCTAGTACAAATATCCTACATTCTCACATAATCTGCAGTGGACCGAGGGTATGGAATGGCTTGGTATCCAAAGGTTTTTCAATAGACCTCACATCTATGAACAATTTCAGGAAATCATTGAAGTCACACTTGTTGATTAATGGGTGATTAAATTAAATGCATGTGTGCAAATGTATACACTAGATAATCTTTGGCTGTCATTGTATGTCAATCCGGAACTCACGGTATTTGCTTGTGGATGAGTATATATGTGTGTGCATGTGGAGACGAATGTATGTGATTATGGATATGTGGGCATGATAATGCATGTACGGGTAATAATGTACAAGTATGGGTTTGTGTAAAGACTGACGAGTGGTGGTTTTGTTTGAGTGTGGTGTGTGTGGATATGAATGGGTTCAAGTGTGTACGTATGTGGTCGTATGGGTCAGGCTGTGTAAACGTGTGGATATGAATGGGTATGTGTGGGTTTTGTTTCTGTATAAGAATGAGTATGTGTGGATATGGATGGGGCATGTGTGAGTATGAATATGGGTTGGTGGTTTTTGCATATGTGCATATATGGGAATGAATGGGTATGAACAAATGAGTTATGACATTGTATTTATCTTGTTTAATGACTGAATTGTATTATACCGTAAGTCTATTGCTTAGTATTTTTAATTCTCGATATCCATTGTACGATGATGTCAGGAACATGTGTGATCGCATAGGTGTACTCACGCATGTTTTGGGATTATATATCTAAACCACAATATGAAAGCTTTTGTTTATTTTGTATATATGTATATGATTACATTACGTTTGTTTGTTTATGTACAAACAATTTCGAATGTGACTATGTTCCAAATGATTCTATTCTATTTAACATTCTTGTTAACTTAAAAATTTTCAACTGATCAACAATCATTATCATATTTGTTAAAATTTTTACTTTTCTCTTGATGACATTACATTTACATGTTAATTTGGATTATTTTCTATTAAGGTTACTGTGCACGATGAGTCTCTTAAAGACTCCCTACAATAGTCCTGTACCTTTATTTTTCTTTGAGGTCGAAAAATATTGTATTGTATTGTAAATCTTTTAGCCGTAATATGGAAGCGGTTGAACAGTGCCTGAACCTCGTCCTGTGAGTGTGCAACCATTGGACAATCATCAGCAAATAACAGATCGTAAAAAACAGAGATATGTGTCATAGACTTCGCTTGCAATCGTCTGATATTAAAGACATTCCCATCCATACGATTGGTATTTTCTCACTACCGTGACAAAAACAATTTGGCGTACATGTATAACAGCGATGGAGCCATAACACAAGCTTGTTTGGTTCCGTTTGCAACATCAAAATCCTGAAACCGCTCACCATTTTCAATCACACTCGCCTTCTTTTTTTTATGGAAGGAACTAACAATGGTAACAAAAGCCCGGGGCAACCAATTCTCGACAAGCAGCGCTAAAGTTCTTGGTCAGGTCAACATAAACCATGTACAGTCCTCGTTGCTGCTCACAATATTTTTCTTGCAGTTGTCTTGCAGTGATTATCATATCCGTTGTGCTGCGTCCGACTTTAAATCCACTTTGAGCCCATAGAAAAATTTCTAGGTAGTTGACATGTTCTGTCAGACGGTCAGCAAACACTTTTGCTAGTATCTTCTCAGTAGTCTGTGGTCGTCGTAGTTCGATCGATCGCCTTTTTTCAAATATATGAACGATTTGAAGAACATCTTTGAACTCCTGAAAAACCAACTGCTCTAACCACATGCCTTCAAAGAGTTCCACCAACTTCTTCTTGAGATGTAGACAACCGTGTTTAAACAACTTTGCAGGCAACCATCCAAAACGGGCACTTTTCCAAACCGTGATATGGTTTTATCCCCCTTCTGCAAACTAGGGAAACCCTCAAGATCATAATTAGGTTCTCATTTCGGTAGCTCAGACAGGATCGCGTCATCAAAGTAGGTCTTTTGATTTTGCACCCTGTAGAAATACTCTGCCCAGCATGCCAAGATACCAGGGTAATCTTTTAACAACGATGTACCATCCCGTGAACGTACCGGGTAGTAGTGAACGTACCACGTGTCACGTGAGGTTTTTATAAAACCATTTCAAATCACCAGGGTTAGCGGCCACTTGTAATTCATCAGCCACACCTGACTCACCTTGACTCCTTTGTCTTGCGCAGCTCCCTCTGCGAGATACTTTTTGCATGTTAGTAGTCTACTTTTTTTTGCATCATTGCTTTTGTCATTTATCCAAGCAGTTGATTTTTGTGCACAACATTCAGCAATCTACAAACCTCCGTATATTGTTCATCGAACCAGTCTCTATGCCCACCCTGGACATTTTGACAAGACTATGATCAGACCACACAGTTGGCACTGTAATCGCTCTGATGAGGTTGGTTCCTTTGTCTAGTGATGACGTTATGATCAGATGCCAATGTTCCGATTGTGAATGCATCCATGTTGTCTTCAGGTTATTTGACTGTTGGAAAACCGTGTTTGTCACAACTAGTTTTCGCACTGCGCAGAGCTCAAAAAAACTTGATATCGTTTGAGTATTTTTTACCAACCCCGTATATCGTGATCTAAACCACTAGAGCGTTGAAGTCGCCCAGCACAAACGCGATGTCCAAAGGGCATCGCGTTCACACGATCTTTTTCTTCTTCCGATGCTTCCAGTGTAGGCACCTAGTAGCAGTTTGTCCTCCCTTGACACTCAGTTGCAGCTTTATTAAACGGGCGATATGCTATGGGAAGTTTCACATACAGACTTGAGAAGTGTGATACGTATTGCGAATCCAACTCGACACATTTGAACTTTTCTTCCTGAATGTCCCTCACAGTGGCGGTAACACGTTCATGCTGATCATCACTCTCTAACAATATGCAATCGTTCCATGACGCAAGGTTCTGTATTTTGTTTTTAGATTTGTGAATATTTCTGCCCACCAATGGGTGCATTTTTTTAGAGATGGGAGTTCATTTTCCATTCCCACTCCTGGTACATCAACCCGTTTGAAGCCACACACACACACACATATACACACACACACACACACACATATATATATATATATATATATATATATATTATCACCATTATTATAACTATCATTATTATTATAATTAGTAGTGATAGAAGTAGTAGTAATAGCCACAGTAGTAGAAGAAATACGAAGTAGGTATTAGCCACAGTAGAAGAAGTACTAATTGTAGTAGTAGTAGTAGTGGTATTTGCAATAGTAATACCAATATCAATATCAGTTAAATTATTATCAGTAATATTATTCTTATCATAGTTCTAATTAATTAAAATTCTATTGGTAATTTTTTTAAGTTATATTATTTATTATATTATTATTCTATTATTTTTTTAAGTATTAATTATGTTTTAAGATATCTATAAATAACGATTCGAATATTTTTAGTTCAAACAAATTTTTATTATCTCAAAAATTTTTTTACTTAACGTTATATTATGATTATCAATTAAGTATTTATGTATTTTTTATAGCGCCTTTTTGTTGATGCGTGTTTATCTGCGTCCCAGATTAACAATCAATGACAACCAAACTGGAACAACAATTTCAACGAACCGACATGAAAATGCTCCGATGGATGTAACGAATTAGTCTGAAGGACCACATAAAATCTACCAAAATCCCGAAGGCCGTCCAAAGAAGTCCTGGTCGCAAACAATCGAGCAAGACATGAAAGCTCTAAATTTAAATGAAATGGATACAACTGATCGTCTAATTTGGCGCAAAAAATTGATGGAAAAAAAAACAATGTCCTACCTCGGGGAACTGGGTCTCTGGACGCTAAACGAAGCTTGATTGATTTAATCTGCGTCCCAGAGTAATTTTAGTCATTCCTATATATGTAGGCCACATTCACCAAATCTACAATTAAATGCAAATATCAGATGCGGTGACTTAGTTTTAACGCCGCATTTATTTTTTAAATTAAATTGGATTTTATATTGTTTCTATAATATATTTTTTATTTGAAGTTAATGTAATATGTACTACTTTTACATTATTTTTAATTATTTTTCTTATAATTTTTTCATCAATTTTTATGAAGATTCTATAATAAACAGTAGGACACTTTAGGAGATGGGCTTACATTAGTATCATCATTATTATGATTTTTAGTATATATATATATATATATATATATATATATATATATATATATATATATATATATGTTGGTAATAGACCATAATCTTTACAATATTCTATAAATTCTACCGCATGTTTGTCGTTAATATGTTTGTAGTTCATATATATATTTATACACTTATAGTATATATATATATATATATATATATATATATATATATATATATATATATATACATATATATATAAATATATATATATATATATATATATATATATATATATATATATATATATATATATATATAT